AACTTCTGAATGGCTTCAACCTGAGCCCTTGGCCCAGCAATAAGGGAAGTACCAGTGTCAGCGATGGCTTGGCATCCATTAGAGCAAGCGATTGATGACGAGCCACCTTGGACCTGATAAATGAAAAACACTATTAGAGGACCTGCTTGAAGCTAAGGAGTAGGTACCGAGTCCATTTTGAATTGCCAATAACCACGACGGGTTACAGAGGTCCAGGTGATTGGTTCAACATATCGGCGACTATCCGTTCCTCCAAGAGTGATTTCGCCTCCAAGTTCTGATTCGGGATTTCTGAAATGATTTTTTATAGCCTTTGAAGAATCTAGAGGTAAATGTACCTGTTCAGCCAGAACGCAAAGACTGGGCTAGCTACTTTCTTCTGCTCAACGAAGTTATGGAATACTGGGGTTACTCCTTAAAATACCTCATTATAAGCTCTTTCTCTCATTACTTAGTCCCTTCATTTTGCATTTTTTATTTATTTTTTGCGAAGTCTTGTATTGCATGCCAAAGCTGTATGATGCATGGATGAGACGTGACGATTACTCAGAAGATTTCGTCAAACAAATAGTTGACGAAATCCGAGCCCAAAGACCAAGTAAACAATAGAATCAAACACTTTACCAAGAACAGCGATTTCTGGGAAGGCCATGCCAAGAATTCCATCAAACTTCGCTGCGATAAAAGTAAGACCGGGTTCACTTGTTGCCTCAGCAAATGGCTGTTCCGAAGCACAGATTCCGGCGATCTGAAGCAGCATCAGCTTATTTTCATTGATGAAACTATGGCTGACATTACTTACGCAGACGTTATCCTTAGAGATGAAACCTTTCATTGAACCAGTTCCGTACTGAATGGCCATCTTACGTCCATCTTCTTTGTAGGTCGAAGATGCGCCAGAGTCGTAGCGGTGATGAAGCACTAAACAGCATAAGTATCAAAAAATAGTTATGGACAAATTTCCACACCCCTTTTTGTGTCTGCTCATTTCTATGAAGACTATTTTGGACAAATTTCCACATCTCTTTTCGTGGACTCTGCTCAATTTTATGAAAATTATTTTGGACAAATTTCCACATCTCTTTTTGTGAATTCTGCTCAATTAGATCGAGTACAGTTCAGCTTAAATTTTTTGAGTGTACGATTTTCATAGATAAATGTGGTCTATGGCGCGCCAATGATAGTGAATAACGAATTCATTTCTGATAATGCTCTATGACTTGATCATTTCGAAACCCAATGGGAACATCGTAGAAATTTGGTGAAGATATCTAACCTGGTTCTGCTAAATATGCTTCGACAGAAAAAAATTTACAAAGTTATGAGTATTTAATTAACGAGCATTTCCGCAACTAAAAGTCCATCAAAGAAACTCGTACTGTCTCCATTTTGTCACAAACATGGTGAACACAGCAAATACACAT